TCATCGGAGATTCTGCTGACATAGCCTGGGCAGGAACTGGCGTGGTTTCCTGAGTAGGCGTAGGCAGCCCATCCTGGACGGGCAGGTCTCCCTGCTGACTGGAGTCAGGCATGATTGGCTCTTGCGCGGATGGTTGTGCGTCGGAATCGCCTGGGTCGAAGTCCACCTCCTCGTCTTCGCCATTGACGTCCATCATGAGGATGGTGGTCTCGTCCTCGCACAATCCACAGCCGTCTTCATCTTCAACTTCTGAAGTAGGATTGCCGATGACACGGGTCATTGGCCCAGTCGGGACAGGCAGATTCCCCTGCGGTAGAGGCGTCTGAGCACCGCTAGGCTGTCCCGGCGTCGGCGGCACGGCGGTCGGACCATGCTCGTTACCGAGCACGGCGTGCGCCTCAAGCTGAGCGTAGACATAGGAGGGCTGCCCGATGATGTTGCGCATGGCCGCATGGTTGGGCTGTAGTCCCACCGCCTGGAGACCCCATCCCGGCGGAGGAGGCGCCCGTTCATGCATCGTGATAGCCCTCTGAAGGGCTTGGCGCCAGAGCCCCTTTGCATACCATACGCGCCGCTGCACGTCGTCAGGGAGCACGCTGTCGACGAGAGTGAAGGCCGCCAGCAGCAAGTCCGAGTCGTCACAGACATCGGAGTCTTGCAGCATCATGTGGCCGCTCTCAACGCTCTGTTGACTATCAGGATACTCTTCAGCTTGAGTGGAATGCATCCGCATGAGGGTCTGCAGCACCGTGCATGGCCCGTACTCGCCCGGCGCGAGCATACCAGGTGGCTCGCGAGGATTGCCTGGCACGCCCACGGTGAAGGCCTGAGCCTCCAGTTCCATCAAGTCGCAATAGCTTGGCGGATACACTGGAGTGGGCCTGTTTCCAGGCAAGGGGTCAGATTGCTGTCGAGGGTTGCACTCGACCTCAGAGGGTGAGGCCTCGACAGTGACGTCCTCGCCGCTGCTCTCGAAGGCCGTGATGTTGCCTGGGTTGCCGAACATCCAGTCGAACAAAGAAAGGGGCTGGTTTCCCAGCGTTCCGTTCTCCACAGGAGTGAGCTCGATGGCTCCGAAGTTGAACCTGCGGAGGTACTCGAGGTAGTACGCGTAGAGCCCGTGGCCGCACGCCTCCACGTCACTGACCCGAGTGAAAAAATACATGTTCCACAGCCTCGAACTCTTGGAGGCTCAGATACTCAATAGCAGGTTCACTTGAGCCTAAATGGACTTCGGACGCGCTACCCTTTCCATTCCCCTTGACTGGACAATCCTTCACAAGATGATCTGTGATGTCACAGCCATGGCATTTCAAGATCTGGCCGTCTCTACCTCGCGGTTTTCCCCGCCTACCCTTGCCTTTGCCCGAGGCTTCCCTACGGCCTTTTCCACGACCTCTTCCCCCGAAACATATCACACCATACTAATCATCTGAAACCCTCTGGAGGAAAGCCGTGATGCCTCGTCCGTTCAACCTTCGGCGACCCCGTTTGCCTTTGCCTTTGCCTTTGAAGCTCCTCCGTATCCTCCTCCTAACACGACGCACTGGTTTTCGTGTAGACCTCCTCCACCTACGCTTTGCTTGTTGTAATAACCAAAACAGATGCTCGGCACGCTGATTCTCACCTTCCATTTGCATGAGATCTGACCAGTCTAGTGGTTCGATGCCATCTGACAATACCGTGTCGGCGTCGGTGCTTGAGTCGAAGTCGTCGTTTCCTAGGTAGGTGGACACTCCGTCGTTTAGGGGGTTCGCACGCCCCCATAGAGAGCGGTGAGGCTGAGGTTCCCTGGGAGGAGGGCTGGTTGCCCAGCTAGGTTGCGATCGATCCCCTGCCAATAGGGCAGTAGATTCACCCGGATCGTCGGCCCTTATGTTTGTGGGCCCGTTGCCAGGCTGAGCTTCAGAGGTTAAGGTGGTATAGAAATTTCCACCAGTTCCCCTTCCCATTCCAAACACTGATCCCATGTTACCAGGAGACCGTTCGGACAAGTGGCCTATCGAGCGCATTCTCTCACACAGTTATCCATACTGTTGTTGTGTTCGGGGCATTTGGTGGTTGAGTGGCTGTAAGAGTTGCATGGCTCGCTGGTTGCCAACGCCTAGGGCGCGGGGTCGGATAGTCGTAAGTAGTTGGAAGCTGGGGAGGTCAAAGCCCACTGACTGTGCCTCAAGACGGGCCATTTCGAACCGAGTAAGGGTTACATCGATTCGTTCTCCGTGAGGTACATGGAAGTCGATAAGCTGTGTGCCTGAGGTGAGTTGGCGCTCACCCTCCAGGCGTTCGAACTTCATGCTTAGGAGGAGCATGATGTATGTTACTGGATCGGTGTGGACACCGTCGATGTCCGCACCATAGTTTATGATGTCAGCTGGTACCCTCATGGCGAGTGTCCTCGCGAGGCCGCCCAAGCCGCGTTGTATGGCGGCTGCTTGGGCTTGTGGTGTCATGTGCCCACTCGTGACGTTAAGCCACGCATTGACCTCATAGACGTACTCGCGGACAGGTACGTTTTCTTGGGGGTCCCAGTATGGGCCATGTGTTTGCCCATCGGTGCTATTATCTCCTCGGCGCATGTGTCCGATTGCCGCTCCCAGCGCAAACCATATAATGGCGAAGATAACCAAACCTAGGCTGTGAAGGTATGGGTGGTTATCGGGCGCGCTGCCACGCTGGGACGGAAATAGTGGCGCCTTGTCAAGTCTGCGAGGCGCTTTATCTTGCGGGTCTCCCCGCCTACGCTTCAGGTGCTGCGATTTCGGTTCGTTGCCGAGCGGTTGGTGATAGCGTAAATGGCACCAATGTTGTTATCTAGACGTCGTACCTCTCGTGTTGCTTCTTGCTCTTGAATTGATCCTCGTAAATGTTGGTGGAGTGGTGGCGCAGGGTAGAGAGTGGTCACGAGGATCGTGCCCGGTAGCGCGAGGATAAGAAGAGCAAGAGCTGACCACACGAGAGTGCGGCCAGCTCCGCTACCAAGTCTGAAATGACTCTGGTAGGTCATATTGCATCCAATTCCATGTCGAAGGAATACAATATGGGGTGTGGATGGATAAGATAGGAGAAGATCGATGTATCGGTCTTTCCAGCACATAGCGAATACCAAGTCAGGTATCCGGGCAAATAGGGCGCGCGTGCCTTGAGCCATAAGGCAGCGACGCGCAGGCTATACTCCCGATTATCTATAACATCTCCCAAAGAGCTACCCTTAAAGTCTTTGGAACCTCCAGCCCCCCCTCGCCCTCGGGCCCCCGCCGCGCAGCCCCCCGCTCCCCGGGACGGGGGCGCGGCGACGCTCCGGTCGAAGAGGGCGAAGAGCGGACCCCGCCCGACCGCGAGGCGCCGGGGCGGGGCCTCGGGGGGGGAGGCCGCCCTGCCAGGCTGGGAGGAGCCCCGCACGAGCCCGCGGGCGCTCGAGGCTGGGGCGGGCGAGGTCGAGGCGATCTTGAGGGGGCGCCGGGCCGCGCAGAGTCCTACCGGCGCTGGGTGTTCACCTTGGAGGCGCGCGTCCGACCCAGGCATGCAGTGATGCCCATCGTGTGGCAGATCGGTTCCCGAGCGGCGTGGCCAAAGAGCGCCCGCCACGACGCACATACTGTAGGACTTCTCGGTGCGCGCGTCGCCCCACGGGGGGCGACGCACATATATGAAGGGGCCCTGGGACACGCAAACAAATAGACACAAATAACAGGATTCCCCATGTTCTCCCATACTTTCAGGGTTTTTTTTGTCTTCCCCCCACTTCCCATATTTTCCTATATTTTTTGCGGGGAGTCGACGATTCATTGTGTCTGTGTGTTTTTTCCCCTCCTGCATATCAAGTATGTTGGGGTGACGCCGAGGACGGGCCTCTGGAGCACACTCGCCGACGGCCCGCGACGGCGGGCCAGCCCACGAGGGAGCAGGCCAGCAAAGGAGCCCTGCCCTCTGCCGTCGAAGCCCCGTCCCAGCGCGGTGCCTCCTCCTCCTCCCCTTCCTCCTCCTCCTCCTCCTCCTCCTCCTCTCCTCCTCCTCCTCCTCCTCCTCCTCCTCCTCCTCCTCCTCCTCCTCCCCCTCCTCCTCCCCCTGCTCCTCCTCCTCCTCCGGGAACCGACGTCCTGGTGCCCCCGCGGGCGGTGGATATGGATAATGGATATGTTTCAGCTCCCGGGGGCCCGAATATGTCCATGTCCACCGCCTGCCGAGGCTCCTAAAACTGACCCTCCAGGCGGTGGTCATGTATGAATTCCCGCCTCGGACATGGCACACGGAAACGGCCAGCTCGCGGACACCGCCCCATCCATGCATGCGCACCGCACGACAGGCAACAGATCATGCGCGGGGCGGCGCCCCCCCAAAAAAACACGTGACGCGCTCTGAGGTCGCGCTGAGATAACCGCATCAGGATGGCAAGCCCTGGGCCCCGAAGCCCAGACTCTCCGCTGGAGCCGAGAACACGGCTCTAAACCTGACACACGCGGGGGGGGCGGGACGGTCTTAATCGGGTACCCTACGAGACCCAGCACCTTGGCCTTCCCGCTCAGGCAAGCTCCTGGAGCCCCCCACCCCACCCCCGCCCCCGCACAAGCACACCCTACCGCCCAACCCACTGGCCCAACCCCCCCGAGCCAGAAGCCCAAGACCAGCAATATATCACGGGCAGCGTGATCGACCGAGGGGCGCCTCCCCGATCACCACCTCCTACCGAGGGCGCCGGCAACCAGGCCAGTGCCCGGGCCTCCATGGACTCGACAGCCCCGACCGCTGACCAAACCCTTTCTTGATCACGAATCGCCCCCCCCCTCTCGGGAGCGGCCAAGAGGGGGGTGTCCAAGAGGGGGGGGTGCAAATCATGCCCGGCGGCATGTGAGCGGCCCAGCGGGGGGGTCAGGGACGCAATGAGACAAGAAGAGGCGCCATGAGATCTGGGGAACTATCGTGGCCCACGCCATGACATCCACCCCCCCCTAGCCATCACCCCCCTCTCTGCCGTCCCCGACCCTCCCTCCAGGGGAAGCCTGGTGTCGCCCGCCGGCCTCCGGGCTGGGCGCCCAGCACGGCGGCGGCCAGCGGGGGGGCCTTCGCCGCGACGACCGGCTCCTGCGGACGTCGCCGGTCGTCGTCGTCGGTCGTCGTCGGTCGTCGTCGTCGTCGTCGTCGTCGTCGCCGAGGTCGTCGCTGACGTCGTCCTCGCCGTCGTCGCCGAGGTCGTCGTCGAGGTCATCGTTCACGTCGTCGTCGCCATCGTCGCAATCGACGCCGTCGTCGTCGAAGCTGTCGTCGCCGTCGTCGAGGGAATCGCCGTCGTCGAGGATGTGGCCGACGCCGTCGACGTCGTCGCCTTGGCTCTGTCTCCCCCTTCGCTTCCTCTTCATAGCGTGTCTGGATCGTCTTCTTGCGTTGCCAAGTGCGATTAGCCATTATTCCACGATTTGCGGCGAAGGCAAGAAACGAATTAATGGCGGGGGCTAAACCATTCTGGGCGAGCACCACTTCATCGCCGTCGCATGTGTGCGTGTCCTTTGCATCCGCCAGATGAAAAGCATTCAAAGGTTTGAGCGCCGATAGCGACGTCATACCATGGAACCAACTACCTTGAATCGAAGGTCTGCTGGATGATGGTTACGGCCCCATCAAACACTAGAAAATTTGCGCGCTTCGCGTTCACTCAAGTTTTACTTGTCTTGGAGTCAAGTGTTAAGCGGGGTAGCAGGGTCGTACACGAATAAAGGGGGCTGCTGTTTGGAAGCCACTACGTTCATGAACATCTACGTAAAAGTAGTAAACATTTCTGCTGTTCTCCCCCGCCCCAAGAGAGCCCAAAGACGGCCCGGAGGGCCATCTTGGAGCTCTCCGGGGGCAGGACCAACATTGGGGAAGTCATGGGGGCCTCTGGGGATCTCGTGGAGGCCTCTTGGGGAAGTCTTCGGGGCCTGCTGGGAGCTCTCCCCTCGAGGCATGTCGAGCGTCGCGGGGGCCGTCTTGAGGGGGAGAGCTCCCCGAAATCCCCCTCTGGGCCCCTCTTGGGGCATCCTGTGGTCCTCTTGGGCCGTCTCGGAGCGGTTTTCAAAGCATCTCGAGCCGTGTGGGGCGGTCGGACAACGGCAAAAAACAGTTGTGCAAAAGTCATTCAAGAACCTTGTGGGTTAATGAATGTTGCTTCTTGGGGCTGCTTTGGGTCCTCTTGGGCCTATCTTGGAACGTCGAGAGGGCTTCTTGGGCCGTCCTGAAGCCATCCTGGACCGTCTTGTGGCCTTCTTGGGACATCTTGAAGACACTGCAGGATTCTTGAGGGACCCCCGAGCCGAGGGAGAGAGCCCAGAGCAGCCTCTGGGGAGGCTCCAGGAGGAGAGGCGCCACTTACCTGACTCCATGCGCGCCCTGGTGTCCCCCCCAGGGCCAGGCTTCGCGACTATGTCGGGTGATGGCTGAGCATTTCCGCCCATCGTTTGAAATCAACTGCCAATCAGGCATCAGGGGACAAGAAGAGGCTCACGCACTGAACTGGGAAGCACCATCATGTTTCAACCAATTGTGCAATGATGATCCCAACGCGGGGCGACGCTCTTCGGACTCCGGTGCCGGCGGCTTCAAGATTGGGAGGCGGCTGGCAGGTGGCGCGCGGAGTCGTCGCCACGTGACCCGCTCTTGGGAGGGGCAGTGGGCATGGGCAGGACAGGGCAGACTCGATGAGGACATCTCGAAGGATGTCGGCTGACAGCCGCACCCCGATCCTGGTCCAAGGGCCAAGGATCCACGCATGCGCCCTGGCTCTGCGGAGCACGTGCAGGTCGGCCCACGTCCCCCGAGCCTCGGGGGTCCCAGATTACCAAAGCTCTGCAGGCTGGAGAGCCACAGCTGGGCACGACAGTGCGCACGCTTGAGGCATTCGGCCAGCCTGCCACCTCTCCGCATCGTGTTCATCCTCCTCAACCTCATTATCACAAGAATGGTCATCATAAACATCATAGTAGCAGCCATCATTCTCGTCATTCTCAGCAGAACAATAATCGCTGACATCACCAACATCAGCGCATTATTGCATGATCACCATCAGTGTCCCCCGTCTCATCGTCAGCCACACCATCATCGTTCCCGACATCGTCTTCCTCCTCCTCCTCCTCACCCTCCTCAACCTCCTCCTCCTCCTCCAGCCCCTCCTCCTACTCGTCCTCATCCTCAAGATCATCATCATCATCATCAGCAGCAGCAGCATCAGCATACTTATCATGATCAACAACAACAACAACAGCAACAACAACAACAACAACAACAACAACATCATCATCATCATCATCATCATCATCATCATCACCAGCAGCAGCAGCAGCATCACAACCACAACCACAACCACCACCACCACCACCATCATCATCATCACCGTAATCATCGTCGTCATGTTCGTCGTCGCCGTCGTCAACACCATCATCATCGTCATCATCAGCAGCAGCAGCATCATCATCATCATCATCATCATCATCATCATCATCATCGTCATCATCGTCATCGTCATCACTATCCTCATCATCCTATTCATTCCTACCAACCCCCAACCCCACCCACTGAATCCGTTCAAAAGCCACGCACCATCCTGCCGGCCGCCGCGACGAGGAGGGACCCAAAAGGACAAGAAAGGCAGGGAGAGAGGAAGAGGGGGGAGAAGTTCGAAGCCCTGGGCGTTGAACCGGCGGAATCTCTGTCTGGCCCCCCTCGAGGGGCGCAGCCGAGGCGCAGGGTCAGGGGCGAGGAAGGGGAAGGGGAGCCTACCCGAACAGCGGTTCGCAGGGGCGAGGGCGAGGGCGAGGGCGACAACGACGACGACGGCGAGGACGGCCAGAGCATGTAGGTCCTCAGAAGGCACGATACGTCGCAATAGCTTGAGCTCCAGCTCCTCCTCCTCATCCTCCTCCACCTCATCATCATAAGCATCATCAGCATCATCATCATCATCATCATCATCATCATCATCATCATCATCATCATCATCATCATCATCATCATCATCAGTAGCATCATCATCAGCATCATCATCACATCATCATCACATCATCATCAGCAGCATTATCATCAGCATCATCATCCTCCTACTCATCATCAGCATCATCATCATCATCTTCATCTTCATCATCATCCGCATCCTCAGTATCATCATCATCAGCATCATCAGCAGCATCAGCATCAGCATAGGCATCATCATCAGCATCACAATCATCATCATCAGCAGCATCACCAGCATCATCAGAATCATCAGCAGCATCATACTTATCACCATCAGCATCAGCATCATCAGCAGCAGCAGCGCAGCATCATCATCATCATCATCATCAGCAGCAGCAGCATCAGCATCACCATCAGCATCATCATCATCCAATTATCATCATCCGATTATCAAATCCTTCTTCATCGCCCCCATATGCCGCCACCATCGTGTTGTCGTCGTGTTGTCGTGTTGTCGTCGTCGTCAGCATCAGGATTATCATCATCAGCATCAGCGGCAGCATCATCGTCAGCATCGTCGTCATAAATTTCAAAGTCATCATACGCATGGTCATCACGACTACCGTCGCCAGCATCATGAACATCATCATCTTCCTCATCGCTTCACCATGGCCATGACCATCACCATCACCATCATCAACAACATCACCAGCATCATCACCATCAGCATCAGCATCATCATATTACTAGCATCACCATTCTCATCAGTGGAATCATCATCCTCACCGTCATCCCCATCATCCTCATCATCATTATCATCAAAAACAAAACACTATTCCAAAAAATGCTCCAAAATGGCCAGAAACAGTTGGAAGATCGCCCCCATACTAGTGTTCGACTATCCTTGAACATTCCTCCCGTGGAGATGCCAATCATAGGTATGGGAGACGTGCTTCCGGCTGGTGGCCCCCCGCCGCCCTGCGCCCCGCACGCCCCCCCCGGCACTGCCGCCGCGCCCCCGAGAGGCCCGCCACGCCGCGGGGGGGGGCAGCCTGGGCCGCGTGCTTTCTCCTCGCGGGCGGGCGAGGAAGCACCCAGAGGGCGGGGGGGGCTGGGGTGACAGGGGGAGGGGGGGATGGAGCGGAGGAGGCAGCGGAGGAGGGGAATGAGAGGGCTGAAGTTACCTGGCGAGGAGCGGTAGCAAGTGAACGCTTTCGCTGTCGGGGGTTCGCCTGTCCCAGGGCGGTTGGAAAGTTTATGCCCTTGCAGTGGCACCGTAGGGGTAGAAACTTTCCAGCCGCCCATGGGCCAGCGTCCACCGACGGCGGAAAAGTTTATGTTATACCGTTCTTCGCCCGCTGATGCAGGGGGGAAGGGACAGGGAGGGCGGGGGGGGAGGCGGAAGGGGGGAGGGAAGGGGAGGGCAAGGGGGGGGGGGGGCAGGGGAGGGGGACGGAGGTGAGGGAGGGGGGAAGGAAGAGGCGAGGGAGAGGGAAGAGGCGAGGGAGAGGGAGGAAGGAGCAGCGAGGAGAGCAGAGAGAAGAGCTCTCGAAGATTCGCGGCCCACCCACGATTCGAGCATTCGGTTGGGGCGGCGGCGGTGCTTGTAGAAGAAAAAAAACGCATAAGCACGAACTTTGGGCGCTCCGCGCGGATTTCTTGGATTCGCGCTGGACCCCCTCCCTGGCGTGCGGAGCGCGCCAGGGGCGGCGCCGGAGGCGCCGCTGGGGGGGGCCAGGCGCGGGTCCAAGAAATCCGCGCGGAGCGCCAAAAGATTATGTTTATGTGTCTGTTTCTTCTTCGAGCTTGGGAGCGCGTCAACAATTACACGAACAGGGCGTCGTAGCCAGCCGAATGTGGGCACGCCTTTGGCACATATGTGGGCGCCCGTCGCGAGCGTGGCGGTTTGAGGCCGCGGTCACGGCCTCCTCCTCCTCCTCCTCCTCCTCTCCTCCTCCTCCTCCTCCTCCTCCTCCTCCTCCTCCTCCTCCTCCTCCTCCTCCTAGCCTCCTCCTCCTCCGCCTCCTAGCCTCCTCCTCCTCCTCTAGCCTCCTCCTCCTCCTCCTCCTCCTCCTCCTCCTCCTCCTCCTCCTCCAACGGGTGCTGGCCAGAAACTGTGGGCTCTGATGTCGGAGGTCGGGTTTGGGCGCACCAGGGGGGTG